CCCCCGCCGCTTCCCCGATTCTCTTTCTCTTCGGGCCCGGGGCGGCCGTACTCTCCGTCTCTGCTTCCTCCGCGCGCTGGCGCTGGCGCTTCGCGGATGCTTCCGTAGTGTGCGGGCTTGACTGCGTCGCACCCACACCGGCGGAAATGACGACCAGGGTCAGCTTTAAGGATGCACGCCTGCATTCTCGGCATACGGTGACGAATGGCATTATTTGCCGCTCCTGCAGCCTCCCTTCGCCAGTATTTCTTTCATCTGGAAGCGCGAAAAAACAAGCAGCAGTCTCGCCTCCGACTCCAAAGCGTAAGCGTTCTCCGCCCGCCCGCCGCCGTCCGCCGTTTTTGTTGCAAAACCCCGCGGCGCCGAACAGGTCGGGGGGCAGCAGGTGTGCCTACCTGGCCCGGCGCCTAAAGTGGATCTCAGCCGTTACGTTCACGTGTCGGGCTTCCCGTCCGCCGCTCGCACAGACGCGGTTCTGGCACCAATCAGGGCGGTCGACGGGTGCGGAGATTCATGGTTCCACTGGATGGACGACACGTCTGGGGTCGCTGATTGCACGTCGGCGGAAGGAGCGGAGGCGCTCTTGCGAGCAGCAGCGGCTGCTGCGGATGCAGCTGCGGATGCGTCCGCTGCCGCCTCTGGTACCCTCGCCGCCGGCGGTGGCGCTAACGGCGAAGAAGCTGATCCTTGTCGGCTCTCCCTTGGGGACATGAAGCTCGTGCGGATGGACCACGCGCTCCTCAACGGCGGTGTTAGTAGTGCACCGGGAGCGGAAGGACAGGAGGGCGGGGAGGGTACCACGAGAGGAGCCAAGCGCCCTAGGCGTTCCTAAACCTGAGGCCGCAGGAAGGGACGATGCCATGGCAATTTTGGTTGGGTAAACTGTTTCGTGAGGCCGACGAGCGGGGAACGCGTATTCATCTTCTCCCTCTCATTTTTTTGGGTGTGTGGTGGACGAAAACATGTACGACACACGTGTGATCAGCCGTTATTGCGTCATAAAAGGTACAGAAACAGATCTCGTGGCAGCCGGAAGCAGGCTTTGCTAATGTTTGTGCGGGTGTAGGCTGATTCTTTTTCTTGACACGAAATGGTTGTTCGTGCCTTCGATCCACAGCGGCCGTCGTCGTGTGAGAGGGATCCCAGGGAAGACGTGAACGGGGTCTGTAGCTTAAGCACGGCAGATCTCTCCCTCGGTGGTGTTGTATCTTGACTCCCTGTAATAGAGTAACTTGAACCTGAACGTTTGGGAGTACTGTTGTGTACTGCTGCACACAAGGTAATGTCCCTTGGCAGGAGTTGGAGAAAACATTACTTTCTAGAGTTGAGGTGTGGTGATTAGCCTGAAGCCAGTGTGACAAAGAATGACTTGGGAGCAAGACCAGGTGAAAAACAGTTTTTGGGAAGGTTTCTAGAGCGATTGGAAAGGTTTCGACGTTTCTTTGGGGTTTGCCTTTTGGCGGGTGGAAGTGTTGCAAACCACTTCAAAGTACCTCAGACTACACGAGCCTATTTTTGGGCTAGCGTGGTGGGAAACTGGTTGGAACTTACTGTGGTGATGGCCAAAACAACAGATTGGGTAGAGTTTCGAAGGGCCCATGGACCGGGCCTCGCCAGGAATGCGGGCGGCGGAGACACGCCATACGTTCTCTTGACGCTGTGTGGCTCGCCGTGAAGGCGCGATTCTCTTGTTAGACGTCAATGTAGTTGCCCCGGTGGTAACTTTTCATGAAACGCTTTCGACACGTTGTTGGAAAGAAGAACGGCATCTTGACTCACTCGCCAACAAGTTTCGATCAATCTAAACACAACACGTTTTCGATCAATCAAGTTTAACCACAGGACAAATGGTTTTAGTTGGAGCCGATTTGCTATCAAGCCTCACACGGAAACGTCCGGACGTGAGCCTATCGTCGACAATCGCTCAAGTACATTTCTCTCTCGCGACCACAGGTACGTCTGCATGAGTCTCGTAACAAGCATAGCGCTCTTGCCACTGGATTGACAAAAGTCATCATCATCTTCTACACCCCACAAACACACGTAAAAAACTTTAAACCGGCGCTTCATTTCCTGATTCCTCCCGCCTTGCAGATAACTGCAGTCGGCCTCTTGCATTCGAGCACCTAAAAACATCGCCGCTTTCCGGCTTCAGCTAAGAGCGAGACAGAGAGCTCTTCTTATCTGGGTAGCCCATGACTCTCTCACCGATTGGTCTATTGGGAATGCATCACGGCACGCTCGCACTCAACGAACCAACAACTTTTTCCACACTTTTGCGACGAACCGCTCGACCCTTGTTTGTCTTGGTACAAACGCGAGTTCAGGGGCGCCACGCAGGAGAGCATCATCGTACTACACTACTATGATATGATATCGTAGAGCTCCTGCGCCTTGAAAAATGGGACGCAAGTCGAGACATACCATCTGCAATACCAGCAGAGACCGGGATGACTTGTGGCTGTATGGTATATATGGTACGTCTGAGAGAGCGCAAGCGCCAAAAGTCGTGACCCATCCTTCTTGTAACGGCAGTTGCACCCTATCTACGCGTGAGAACAACGCGGAACTCCGGCAAATCCACGGCCCCAAACAGGGCAATGACTCTATCGTTCACGTTGGGCTACCGGGTGTGATTTGTGACTCGTAGGAACACAAGATTAGTCATAGTGGTGGGGGCCCACTCCAGTCAGAATTTCTCCCACGGTGCGAAAACCCTGCAGCCACCCCCTCGCACGACAGACGGCCTGCATCAACGCTGCCCAAATAACAAGGTCCAGCAGATCCACTACTGTCCAATATTGGGTTGCGGATGATGACTGTTCGCTATACCGTAGCAGGGACGGTTGGTTCGAAAAAGCCGCCAAGCCGGCGGCCATCCCCTTGTCGCCTAACTCTACACCGCCACAGCTTCTCCCCCTCTCTCGTCCGACTTCCTGTCCACCCCAACACCACCACCTCCCTGAGAACCGGCGGGCCTCCCGAAGAAGGGCGGCAGGCCTGGGGCTGCTGCTTCTGCCCCCCCGGCGGCCGCGGCTGCTGTCCCCGCTTCTGCACCGGCCTCTGCCCAGCCCGCCCCCACCCCCTCGCCCGCCTCCTCTTCCGCTGCTGCTGCTGCGCCATGTTCATCGATGAGCTGCATGTAGGCCTGATAATAGAACAACCGAAAGGGATCAAGACATCAAGTTAGGGTGAGAGGGTGAGACGTGAGGCGGGTGTAATGTGCGAGTGAGCAACCGAAAAAGGGGGTTAAACCTTGTGATCCAGCAAGCGGTGGTACATACCGTGAAGCAGAATCCATCTCTTCCACTTCTCTAAGGGTCTGTTGCTGTTTTCGGGTACCGGAGTTGAGGCGTACGGTACACAGCTTTCTCGGGCTACTTGCATGTATCACATCACGTCCGCCCCTCTGTTCGCGTGTCCAAAAAAAAAATATATATATATATATTCTTGGTTCTTTTTTTGTCATCCCGTGTGTATGTGACACCCATGATGATGCACACAGCTGTAAGTTGTTCACCTGTTGAGCAGTCATGGTCTGTCCGCTCGGGCTTGCTCCGGGTGCTACTTCCACGAGCACTCTTTCGTTCGCCTTTGTTTCATGACGAGCAACGCGTTCGTTTATCATTGCGATCTGTTGTCGGATGACACGAATCGAGTACGCCCTCTCTCTCTGTACCGAACCATAAGTCAGCTATACTTACCCCCCCGACTTTTAGGCCCCCATCCTCTTGACCTGTTTTAGCTCACTTAACCAGCATGCCTGTCTCCACCTTTGGACTCCTCGAAAACGGGAGTGCCGGGGTACACGGGGACAACTGTGGTCTAGTGTGGGTGCTTTGTAGAGGGGAGGAGGAAGAGGGTACTGGCAGGTAGAGTTGCGGGACGATACCGCAGGTGGGGTCAACGGCCAAGTTGCACCGCGTCTGCCTGTGCTTGGGTGGCAAGCGCTACGAGGGGCACAGCGTGGAAGGAGCAACCTCGCCCACCGATGAAAGGAGGCACTGGGCCAACCTAGAGCTTGGGTTAGAAGGTCCCGATTTCTCTCTAGAATAATATCTTAAAACCTCCTTTTCGTGCCCCGTTTACCATGCTCCCTCCGGACAGTCGTTGTCTATGATCCCCCATCAGGGGTCAGGTGATGGGGCGTTTAGCTTTTTAGGCACGAGACGGCTCGGGTGAGAGGGTAGCTTTGCCTATGCACCCAGGGCTGGAACTGTCCGCATCATTCAATAAGCAGGCTGAGTTTCTTCCTACTTGTATTTCGGAAATTTAGCAACAGCACCGAATATTCCATCGTCCTCAATTGCTACCTGCCACGGATGTTGGGTACTACTTACCGCGTATCTTGGGAGTCGATTTATTGAGCGGGGCGGCAAAATCCGCCAGACCCCTCGGTACAGCTACAACCTATCGCGACGACTCTAATGGTGGCGCATGGCCCTATGGGCCGATACTCGCGCGCTTACTCACGTCGAAGACCTCTGGTGTGAGGCAGAAGCTTGTAATCTGGCATCCCCCTTCCTGGAAAGGGCAGCTGGAGGGCCAGCACTCGTCTCCCACGAACTCCGTGGCAATACAGGACTGTTGTTGTTGCGGAAACGGGAGGGGGTCAGCACACGACAACACGTGTGAGGGAACGCACAACGAGTGTTCCGTTGCAAAGCACACAAGACGCAACGATCTCCTTCCACCTCCTTTTCAGCACGGCACGAGGTGGTTATCAGTCGTAAACAACAACGTATCCAAGAGCGATAGCAGCAGCAGCAGCAGCAGCAGCAGCAGCAACGGATCCACCAAAAACACACGGTGCAGGCCATCATCGTACTACTGTGGTAGCGTCTCCCAACACCAAATCGATCGCGATGAGTGCGGCGGATAGGCTCACATACTTCCATGTCACCCTTCCGGATGGGTACACACAGCAGACAGCAGACGCGCGGAATGATTACTGTCAGCTGGCTGGCTGGCCGGCTGGCCCGCTTACCTCTAGTGTCCTGCACCATGGATCTGACTCTTTGACGCCCTCGACATCGCAGTATTGCATCGCCATGTCAATAACACACGACATCACCGGCTCGAATTCGGCATCGTAGGCCACCTGCGTGTGTGTGTGTGGGGGGGGGG